TTCAGCACAAAATAATCATGACTAAACATCCGAAGGTAAGTTAAAAGAATGAGTACAACTTTACAATCTGTATCCTGTCTCATGTAATCGTTCAATCAGTGTTTCAGCCGCGCAAAGACGTCAATATAACGTCTTGTAAACAATGTCACGTAACGTCACATTTACCTCAGAAGGCATATCTAGTAAACATAAACTCGATAGTCAGCCAGAAAAATAAACTGTAGAGAGCATTTTGCTAAATATATGCACCATATATATCATTATAATTTTTTACCATTCTTTAATGTTTTATTTATGTTTGAATAAATCCGTCCACGTTTTTATGACAGCCACTATTTAAATGTGTATATTTAAAAAAATAACTGAAGTAATTGTAACTTAATTATTATAAAAACTTCATTAATTGCAATTTAAGCAGTTGTACAGCACAAATCAGTCAATTTTAACCTTCAATGTTATAATGCAGTACCAACTGACTCTCATGTAGGCTATATTTTACAGCATTAGTTGAGAGATTTTATTTTCCTTGAGAAAATTTGGCATGTACTGTACCTGATATGTATCCAAAATAATCGATATTGAATCGAATTGGTAATCGAATCGAATCGCAAGCTTGTGAATGAGAATCGAATCGAATTGTGAAATTTGTCAAAACCCAGCCCTAATGCTAATACATACGTTGACAGGCAGGTAGGAAAGCCAATTAAAACGCTCGGACCGAGCGTTTTGATTGGACGAACATTTCTTGGTCCTACGCCTTCCACAGAATATATACATACAGATAAATACAATGCACAGCATAAATGAGTATACACCCCCTCTGATTAAATATAAAAGATGTATTTTCTTAATGATCACTAATATAATTCATAGAAAGATGGCAAAATTGAAATGTATTAAACATATTCTTAATAAAAACCAATAAAAGCCAATTTTTGTTTAAATGAAGGATTGCAGAATTGAGTACAACCTAGATTTAATTCAACCAGTGTAATATTTATATATATATATGTAATATAAGTGTAATATTCTAGAGCTTAATATGTCCTCCATAACTCTAAGTACACTGCTCTGACACTTCTTGGCACTGAGTGTATAAGAGTGCTGTTTAACTCCTGGAGGACGACCTCCTTAAATGCCCTGGTCTTTAATGGGGAGTGTTGCTCAGCTCGTCTCTACAGAATCCCCCACAGCTGCTCAAGAGTGTTAAGATTGAGTGAAATACATGTCCACTGAAGGGTCTCATGAGACCAGAGTATGGATTCCCAGAAGTCTATATTTTATAAATATGGGCCTTGAAAAAAGCTAAATGAGTTTATTGTGCTTTGGCTACAGTCGCTAGTTCTGGTGTGGATAAACAACCATGCATGTCACTTCTGCATGCTGCATCTTACTCTGTGAGATAAAGTGTCACTCTTTTCACAGCTTTTGCCGGCTCTGAGACACTTTCACAGTGTTTCTTCCTGCTCTTTTTCTAGAAAACTCACTCATCACTAAATGAAAGCTTAAAGTGAAGACCTAATTATTTCAGGGGCCTTTTCACAAGACCATTGTTTTTGAATTTCTGTGTTACTTTGGCTATATCTTCACACTTAAAACAATAGTTTGGTATTCCTCTTGTACCATTGTCCTCTTTTATGCTAAGAAATAAATCTCCTGACAGTTCTCTCTCAAGTGGTTTCATTGTTGTCAGCATTAAGTCTGAGTATGATTCAGTGGGCCATATAACATTTAATTATCAAGAAATTACTTACCTTTAACAGTTTTGGTTCAACATACTTACCTGTTGATCAATACTTGCCTTAACCTTACACCAGAATTATATATATATTTTTGTTTTATTTAGTAACTTTCAGGAGGGTGAACTCATTTTTGCAACACAACATTTTAGAACAAAAACTTTAATTTTGGATGCGATTAATCACGATTAATTGTTTGACAGCACTACTATTCACACAAAATTTGCTCAGTCTGAAAAAGGTTAATAATTTGGCATTCAAACAAACACCTAGCTTTCAAATAACCAAAAAAGTTTCAAATATCAATACATTTTTTAACAAGTTTCAAAATATTATTATGCATGTTTTTCAAACTATAAATATTTAGACTCCATGTAAACAAATATCAGGATTAAAAATGTTTGTTTACATCATGCGAACCCCACAATCTCTCTTGTTTGCATTAGGATGAAGTGGACGGTCGTTTGGCTGTGTGTAGCGGATGACTTCATATCTAACTGAATGTTGTGAAGGCTTCGAAGAGTTTTGATAGCAGGAGCATCTGTTTTTTATCCTCTCTGTGCAGATGTACATCATGCCACAAGGATGAGACAGAAGCTTTATGAGTGCACAGTTACAATGTGGAAGGTATGTGTGTGTTTGGCGGCAGAGACAGAGGATCACTTATCCCACTATGAAAAAGGAAGAAAAAAGTAGGAAGCACACACTGTTGACAGTTAAGCATCTTCAGTTTATCATTCTGTATTTACCGCCCTTAATTCCCCTCAGTGTGAAAACACTTTGAAAAACACACATGAGTAACGATGTCAGGGAAACAAAGTCATGAACCTCAGTGTGGCGCCAAAATGATTAGTGATGGGCTGTTTATTGCCTCATCACCTCTGCCGTGAATCTCCGTTATCTCTCCTCAATTCCATGAATCCTTGTGCATGTTCCATGAAACCGCCCAGCCTGTGGCATTAAGACTTCTGTTTTTACATCAAGTCATATAATGATTAGGGTTGGGTATCGTTTGGTTTTTTTTCGATACCGGTGCCAAATCGAAACTTTTAAAACGGTTCCGGTGCCTGAACTTTAAAAAACTTTGTCTTTCTCTTTATTTATTCTAGGGATGCACAGATACCACTTTTTCCAGTACTCGCCCGATACCGATATCGCTTTATGTATTACCCAGTTGTAAGTCGCTTTGGATAAAAGCATCTGCAAAATGACTAAGGGTGCTTTCACACTAGCACGTTTGGTGCGCACCCAGGTTCGATTTACGTCAGAGTTCGGTTCGTTTGGATGATGTGAACGCTGTCTTCCGAACTCGGGTGCGCACCCGCGAACCGTACCCGAGTCCGCTTAAAAAGGGTGGTCTGGGGTATGGTTCATGTGAACTCCGGTACGGTTCGCTGCTAATGTGAACGCAATCGTACCAAATCGCGGCAGTGAACCGCTATTAATGACGTATTACTTGATAAAAATGTGTGTTTGTGTGTGTGTTTCACTCACTTTCCTGACGAGCGTGACTGACACGCTGCAAACAGAGAGCCTTCAGCGTTCTTTAGAGCATTTGCAGTACATTCGTAAGACAGATGTAAGTGCCGTTATGTACCGCAGCTTTGTAAACAAAACGAACGGTTCAAAAACGTAAATATATAAAAGTGCAGAGAGCAATGTTATGCATTTGCCGCCGTCGTTACTAAGCAACAGGGTAAACAGCTGCTGGCTTGATGATGCAAACGAACCGCGGTTCGGACCCAAATAAAATAATGTGAACGCAGTCCAGCGGGGGCAGGGGGAGCAATCAAACTCGGGTTCGGACCAGGCAAGCGAACCAAGTGTGGAAGCACCCTAAATGTAAAATGACTAAATGTACCACAGTCAAGGCCCAGAAAGGTAGTAAGGACATTGTTGAAATGGTCCATGTGACATCAGTGGTTTAAAGGTGCAATAGGTGATTGTCTTCAGAAACATTTTTTGTTAAGCTGGTTGAATAATTGGCTTTCCTACCTGTCTGTCAACGTATGTATTAGCATACCTCTGCGCACCCTGTTCGCACAGACAGGATACGTCATCAGCGTGTTCACGCACGCTGTGCAGACAGAGCGACAATGGCAGACAAACATCAACAACCCGATCTTCCTTCCTGGTAGGGCTGTCAAAAAAAAAATTCTAATTTCAAATATTCGTCGAATTTAAAAAAAAAAAAATCCACATTTGAATGCAAAAACGTTGCATTCGAAATTTAGATCTGCGT